TTTAAAATCCATACCACATTTTTCATTTTGTCATCAGTGAACATAGGTTCACTACTGTGGGAGTTTTTTGGGCAGGGCTGATGTCCCCAAATACACATGATCTTTGTAAAGTTTTGTGGTTTTATAGTTAAGAGGTCTTTTTTTTTTTTTTTTGAATAGCCCAAATGCCTATTCAGTGCCAATCTAGGAAAGAATGGAGTTAGCATTTTCACACCATTCCTTCCTATACAGTCTCTGAATAACCATCTAATCAAGATTTGTTTTCAATGGGGGAGAAATCTTCTACAGTAGAGTATTTCAAATTTATTCCATTGGAATCTATACATTAATGCCCACTGGGTGAAAAGGACATGTTTCACAAAAGCCTGGACATGGCTTTGCTGTGGCAGAAACTTTTTCCCACTGTATTAGAGTTAAAAATAAAAGAAAGTCTGGGAAAGGAATTGCTGTAGCATTGTGTGCTAGAGGAATGAGGCACGCTTGAATGGAGAGGCAGGGTCCCCCAGCACATCTGTACCCATATCAGCAAAACCCACTCAGACTTCCCTGGCTGCTCCTACAGTATACTCAGCCAGTATACTCAGGAAGCTGCTTAACGATTGTGTCTATAAAAGACCCACTAAGTTTGTCAAGTCAGATTTAAGTTTGTTTCTGTTGTAATGAAGTTTTAATGAAAGTGCAACAATTTTTCAGCAACAGTATTAATTCAGACTATTTAACAAACATTTTTTTTTTGGTAGACTGGACAAATTGTGTCAAACAAGCAGTGTGAATTTTTCTTAGGAGATTGAGTGTGTGATTTTTGACAGATTTTGTTGTTGGCCATTTCCAACTCTAAAGCAGTCTCCATCCTCATTAACTTCAGTGTCTCTTTTCTCTGACAATTAAGATGGCTCTAAATCTTTCAGCAACCCAGGATTCATTCCTCAGCAACTCAGTGTTCGTTCTTCAGTGAAAGGAGCATCAGAAGGCATGGGTGCTAACCGACCCTATCACTAGCTGTGCAAACCTTTGGATAAGTCTTGTAGACACCAAGAGCCTCAACTTCCCTTACATCAAATAGTAATAAGAAGTGTCCTGAAAACATGTTGAGTTGTTCAAGTAGTAGATGAAATGCTTTACATGAAAAAAGTTTATGAGTACTATAAAATGCTATGTGGATATTATTAACTATTGTGATAGTTTCTAAGAATTATGAAAAAGAAGCCAACTCTTAACCATATGACATCTCTAGTGATATCATTACGACTGATGCTATGAGCAAAGATGTCTTTAAAGTGTTTTCACCTGTGTAGGCAAATTTTTAAAAGTAATTTCATCATACTCAGAAATAGTGATCTTATCAGGGACACAACCAGTTTTAGTGTTTACTATTTTACTTAAATGAAAAAGACATTCATGATAGTAAAATTGTACCTAGAAAACTCTACATTTTAGTGCCAGGAACAAATTGTTCTGTTTTTTGTATCCATTTATAAAATTAAAATAGAAAGTTCTTTAAAGTCAATGATTGAAATTATGTAGGTCACAAGCCCTAGAAATGTAAATTCCTTGCAAATACATGGCTAGTTCGAGAAATAGCTGAGGACATGCTGGACAAACCTTTCACACACATTTATAATACAACAGACCTTGGGCACCTAAGGGCCAGGCTTTATTCAACAGCAAAGCTTTCAACATCAAAGCAGATAAGAGTAAGAAATCTACAGCCATACTGCCTAGAAATCCAGCTCCACCACCCGTTCCTATATAGACTTGAGCAAGTGTCTGAATTTCTCTGATGTCAATTTCCTCATGTGAAAAATGGGATAGTAGGACTACCTAGGCCATAGGATTATTGTTGGTATTAAAGGAAGTAACATGCTAAAGTATTTAGAAATTACCTTGTAAGCACTTTCAAAAAACAAGTTTGCCCCTTTTTATTATTGTCATCATCATGTACACACGTGAGGGACTCAGCAAGAATTTGGACTTTGGTCTAGGACTGATTTCCTAAACATTCCTTCCTTTATTATCGGGGGCCTGCCTCTGAGTACTTATTTTGTATTAGCGCAGTTAGAAGGCATTCACCATAAATCTTCGATCTGAGAAAAAGGATCTATTTTCCATAAATGGAAAAAAAAAAGAAGAAACCATAGCTGAATGCAGTATTTTTGGCAAATAACAAGCCTAAATGGAAGCCAGAAAAAGGAATTCTCTTATGTAAAAATTATTGCAAAGTGAAAACTATAAACAGAGACATTCTACAGGAGAAGAGTGGGGACAAGAACAAAATGGGGGTGGGAAGAGCACATGGGAACGTGGTGATAACCCACGGATGAAGTGGTGGAAGGAAGGTCACGGGGATTACAACCTAGATGAAAAAATGCACAAAATGAAAAATAATGTAAAAAATATTTAAAAAATAACCAAAATTATTGCAAAGTGCACCACTTAAAACCAACATAGAGCCAGTAGACATTTATTAAGTGAATACATCTGAAGTTAATCAAATGTAGATTACTGGAAACAAAATGAATGGATTCGTGAAAGAATCTACTCACACACACTGAGATGGATTGACTGTGCTCCCGTGATTGCAAGGGGAAGACTGAGCAGCAGAAGGCTGACGAGCTAGCAGGTCCTCTCTACTAAGGCAGATGAGGAAGTGTCTGAGGAGATGGGCATTCCTTGTGCTTGCAGAACATTACTTTTGGGGTTACTTCTAAAAGGGATCAGGGCCACCAGTCCATAGTCAGCATTTGTGCCACCTGATTTTGGAAACCCACTTCATCTTTCACGAGCTGATTCTTCATTTGTGAAGGCAAAAATGGGGGACCTTTCTTCCTCTGACTTATTTCAGTACATATGCCTTCGAGGTCTATCCCTGTTGTTACAGAAAATAAGATCTTATCTTTTTTGAAATAAGCTGAACACTGCATTGTTTATATATGCCATGTCTTATTTATTCATTCATTCATCAGTAGGCACTTGGATTACTATCAAATCGTGGCTGTTGAAAATAATGCTGCAATGAACAAAGGAGAACATATATCTTTTAAAATCAGTATTTTCATATTCCTCAGATAAATACCCAGAAGGAGAATAGCTGGATCATATGGTATTTCTATTCATGATTCTTTGAGGACCCTCTAAATTGTGTTTATCATGGCTGTATCAGTTTACATTTTTACTAACAAGCGTTCCCCCTTCTGCATACCCTTGCCAACACTTGTTGTTTCTTGTCTTTTTTTAACAGCTGTTGATTTCACTCTTATGGAAGATAACAAAAACAAATCCTTAGATTACAGGAACAAACTGATGCTATAGAGAAGGGGCAAAAGATGGATACATTGCATAAAGGGGATCAATAGCATGGTAATAGATGGAACAAGACCTTGAGTGGTGATCATAATGTAGTATATACAGATACCAAATTATAATGCTGTACACCTGAAGCCTATGTAATATTAGAAGCCAGTGTTATGTCAATGAATCCTACCAAAAACTCATTTAGAGAGAGGAAGTTTAGAACCGTTTGAGAGGAGAGGTTAAAAATAAAAATTAGGCCCTCCCTGGTGGCGCAGCGGGTTAAAGCACAGCACTGAGAATCTAAAGCCACTTCCTCAGGAGTTCGATTTCCCGCCTGCCCCGGAGGCGACCACATGGCGTGGCAGACCTCTTCCTGACCCGCCCGCTGCTCCCCTCAGCAGTGTACTTCGTCGATCTGCCTATTCTGCTCCCCGCTCTGTCTCTGGTGAATTCTCTCACCCTCTGCATCTCTGGCCTGTAACCCAGTTCTGTACAAATAAATAAATAAATCTTTAAAAAAAATAATAAAAAAATAAAAAATTAAAATTAAAAAAAAAATAAAATTAAAAAAAAAAAAAGGAAATCTTGGAGGCTTAATGTTATAGCACCTATTTTCTTTCTCATTCTGTGATCCAAATGTCCCCAACATTATTCCTCCTCTGCACACTCTGGTGTAAGGGTGGCAGTAGGTCAGGTTATCCACATCCTGTGCCAATCTGTTGCTTTCCTACTGGGAGCTATTTGGTGATTCTCCTTTAGCCAAGTGTGTATAGTACCCTACAATGTAGTGATCATACCGCCCAGTCCTGATTATTCCTGCTGCCCTGGTCTAATTGTTAATAGTGCTCCCTTTCACTATCAAAAATACCTACTTTGATAAATGTGATTGTATATGTTACTCCAGTCTCCCATTCAGTGCTTCCATGTCTGACCTTTTTAACATTCCTTCTTCCTTAAGCCTTAGACAATTCAGATTAATACCATACCACATGCAAGCACCCTAGAAAGTACTCAAACAGGTTGTGAGAGATGACAAGAATGGAGAGATGCAGAAAGCAGTGGATGAATACTCCTTTAGCTGACAAGCTGCATACTATAACCACCCTCAACTGGAAAACAGGGCAGCTGCAGTTCACTGGACATCTTAGTCTGGACTGAGAGATTCTGTTTTCATAGTATAGATTTGGGGGATATGCTATATAAAGCAAAAGCAGGGAAGGATACTTTTAAACCATAAATATTGCTGTTAACCTGTGAACAAGGAACACTGATAAAATCAGGAGAAATGTATGCTTTCTCAAAGGACCCAGGCGTGGGCTTGTCTAAAGTGTAGGTAGAGTTCCAAGAGATCAAGCGCTCCGTTGCCTTTCAGTTCCATTGTTAATGTTGTACAGTCAACAGGCAAATGACCCATCTATTTACCAGATGGCTTTCTTCAACTGACAACCCTGGCAAAAACTCTGTGGGTATTAATGTCAATTCAATACACCAGATAGCCAGTATTCTTGTCGTTGGCATTTATACCCACAGCTTGACCCCTGTGCAACACCTGTTCCTTTCCCCACGGTTACACAACCCCCTCCCGCCTTGTGCCTGCAGAGGGCTGCTTCTAAGGACCATGGGTATTACCAGCCTGAGTCCTAGGTGTTAGGAATGCAGTCAGTTCTCTCTGACCCCATGCCCTGTTTTGTATATCTCTCGCCATGCAGGTGACATCAGTTGCAAGGGGATGACCGAGCGCATTCACAGCATCAACCTTCACAACTTCAGCAATTCCGTGCTCGAGACCCTCAACGAGCAGCGCAACCGTGGCCACTTCTGTGACGTGACGGTTCGCATCCACGGGAGCATGCTGCGCGCGCACCGCTGCGTGCTGGCAGCCGGCAGCCCCTTCTTCCAGGACAAGTTGCTGCTGGGCTACAGTGACATCGAGATCCCATCCGTGGTGTCAGTGCAGTCGGTGCAAAAGCTCATTGACTTCATGTACAGCGGCGTGCTGCGCGTCTCCCAGTCGGAAGCCCTGCAGATTCTCACGGCCGCCAGCATCCTGCAGATCAAAACAGTCATTGATGAGTGCACGCGCATTGTATCACAGAATGTGGGCGATGTATTCCCAGGCATCCAAGACTCGGGCCAGGACACGCCACGGGGCACTCCTGAGTCAGGCACATCGGGTCAAAGCAGTGACACTGAGTCAGGCTACCTGCAGAGCCACCCCCAGCACAGTGTGGACAGGATCTACTCGGCGCTGTATGCGTGCTCCATGCAGAACGGCAGCGGGGAGCGCTCCTTCTACAGCGGCGCGGTGGTCAGCCACCACGAGACTGCCCTCGGCCTTCCGCGGGACCACCACATGGAAGACCCCAGCTGGATCACACGTATCCACGAGCGCTCTCAGCAGATGGAGCGCTACCTGTCCACCACCCCTGAGACCACACACTGCCGCAAGCAGCCCCGCCCTGTGCGCATCCAGACCCTGGTGGGCAACATCCACATCAAGCAGGAGATGGAGGACGACTATGACTACTATGGGCAGCAAAGGGTGCAGATCCTGGAACGCAATGAATCCGAGGAGTGCACGGAAGACACTGACCAAGCTGAGGGTACTGAGAGTGAGCCCAAGGGCGAAAGCTTTGACTCGGGAGTCAGCTCCTCCATAGGCACTGAGCCCGACTCAGTGGAGCAGCAGTTTGGGCAGGGAGCAGCACGGGATGGCCAAGCAGCAGAACCTACCCAACCTGAGCAGGCTGCGGAAGCCCCAGCTGAGGGCAGCCAACAGCCACACCAACTAGAGACAGGTGCCTCCTCCCCGGAAAGAAGCAACGATGTAGAGATGGACAGCACGGTCATCACTGTCAGCAACAGCTCCGACAAGAGTGTCCTGCAGCAGCCTTCGATCACCACGTCCATCGGGCAGCCATTGCCAAGTACCCAACTCTACTTACGCCAGACAGAAACCCTCACCAGCAACCTGAGGATGCCTCTGACCTTGACCAGCAACACACAGGTCATTGGCACAGCCGGCAACACCTACCTGCCGGCCCTCTTCACTACCCAGCCCGCGGGCAGCGGCCCCAAGCCTTTCCTCTTCAGCCTGCCACAGCCCCTGACAGGCCAGCAGACCCAGTTTGTGACAGTGTCCCAGCCAGGCCTGTCGACCTTTACTGCACAGCTGCCAGCACCACAGCCCCTGGCCCCATCTGCCGGCCACAGCACAGCCAGTGGGCAGGGTGAAAAAAAGCCTTATGAGTGCACTCTCTGCAACAAGACTTTCACCGCCAAACAGAACTACGTCAAGCACATGTTCGTACACACAGGTGAGTGCTTGGCAGCTGTGCAAGGGTGAGCGTTGTGGGGAGGGAGGAACAGGACAGCAGGCAGAGGGAAGGTCTGGTGGCCTTTCATATGTTCAGGAGAGCCCACTGTCAGCTACCTTCTAGAAGCCCATCTGTGCCCTCTGAGGAGCAGGACCCTGCCACCAAAAGACAAAGTCACAGAACCCGTTAAGGAACAAGAAAGGTCAAATGGAAAGGCCTGGTAAAGAATTTTCAGGCACAATACCCCTTACATGCATTGAACGTTGTAATATGGTCTTTGATCTAGACCATATTTTGATCCCAAACTGGAGAACTTCTTGGAGCCCATATACTCCAGTTACCAGATTACAGCCCAAAGTCATATAGGCAAAGCTGGAAAGAGTTTTAATCTGCAGGAAATTCTGTATGAAACATCAGCTTAAGGAGACTACAACAAAGCTGATGTAAGCTTAAGCCCTATCTGTGGTTCCTGAAATGAATAGGAATGATAGACTCACCCTATTTTCTATTGCTTACTCTGTTGTTCGCATCTAGAGACCACAATCTATATTGGGCACTACCTTTTTGAAAAGTGACAGACCAACTGGGACATGATTGTGGAGAATATGATTAGGATGGTGAAGGGACACAAAGCAGTGATATGTGAGTGAGTCATAGTGGAAGGTATTAAAGATGTGCAGCCCGCAAAAGAAAAGACTCTTGGTGCTATATCAGTTGTATTATGTTTGCTTCAAGGGCAGCATAGCGTAGGAGGCAAACTGGCGCTCTGGGCCAGACTGCCTGGGCTTGAGTGTAGACTTTACCACTACTGAACTGTCATCTTGGGAAAATGACTTAATCTTTCTATACTTCAGTTTCCTTGTCCGTAAAATGGGAATAATAGTGAAATGACTTTCTTATAGTGCTGTTTTGAGGGCTGAATGACTTGACATATATGAAGTTCTTTCAACAATTCCTGGTACTAGCAAGCATTCTCTAGATGGTAGCTGCTGTTAGCACTATTCATATGTAAGTGGTTGAGAAGAAAGAGATACTAAGTTTGCTCTATTTGATTCTAAATGGTAGAACTTTGGAAACTATGGAGTTTCCTTCAACTAAGTGAAAGGAAAAATTGGTTAACTGTCAGAGCTTCTATAAGAAGGGGTCGCTTACCTCCACAGGAAATTTAATTCCTATAATTAGAGATGTTCAAGGAAAGAATGGATGATCATTTCTAGAGGTCTCATAGAATCATCAGGAGAGAAGTTGGACAAGGTATTTTTCCTCCTGGATCTATGATTCTGGCACTCAGATCACGAGACCTCCCAGCCATGACTCCATAATAAAGCAGACACAAAATTAAGAGGTCCATTGATAGGCTTCCATATAAGTCCCATAAACACAATTTTAGAGATTTCCTTGTACCAAATAATGCCACTTATCCCAGTGATGATCACTGAATGTGAAGTTCCTATCATGAAAGGCACTCATCTGGTCAGTCCAGAAGAGTACACTGTTAAATGATAAAATATATTTCCAGGGGAAAGTTACCTACTTGAGTTACATACAATATATTAAAATAAATTAGTTCTCAAAGCAAGCTTGTTTCTCAAGCTTATAGAAATCTAAGGGAGAAGACATAAAGCTCATAAATACAAATTGGGGAATAGAAGGAGAGGAGAGCAACAGACACTAAGACAAAGTACCAAACCTGGAAGTGAACAACTGAAATCATTGCTTAGGATGAATTCTGCCTTCTTTGCAGCTCAGCGTAAGTCAGAGCACTGTCTAAAGCTATGTGTATGCTGTTAATGTGAATCAGTTGTTCTTTGCTTTATAAACCTTCATATTAAGGGGGACAAAGAGACCATTTACACATGTATCTTCTTTGCCAATGTTGACTTTGCTGGTCTTGAAGACCGTAGACATTTCTACTCTCCCCTTTCATGCATCTCCTCCAGTAGACTTAGCAGATAGAGAATTTGCATTTTTCTTAGATCACCATAAAATTTTGTATGTATTACCAAAATTTGTCTATTTTAGTGTATTACCACATTTATCCAATGAATTCACTGAAGGATTCTGTGGTTAACCCAAATCACTAGATTTGCTTGTAAGAAAACCAGCAATGGGTTTGCACATTTAGACAATATAGATATGAAAACTCCAAGTAAAGTCAGCTTATAAGCCTGAGTTTTGCTCAAAGTGTAATGTTCAGATCTCCAGTAAATTATGTGGGTTCTCAATAGGTTAGGGTTTTTGTAATGATGTTTATGACTGGCCACATCTGGGAACAATTGATAATGTGTGTGTGTGTGTGTGTGTGTGTATCACTAAAGCACCTGTTTAAAAGAGACGAACTTCTCTCTCATCGCAGAATTATTTGGCAGTGGCAGTTTAGAAGAGTAATTTGTCAAAACTTGGTCTAACTAAAGCAGTTCATAACCAAACAAAGTCTAAGAACAATTAGTCTAGATTTCCAAAAAGCAAGAGAGCCTGAACATATGGAAGTAATGCAAGACCTGGATTCACTGTGGCCCACATTTCAAAACAAAGTTCTATCTAATATCTTGGGGAAAGGAAAGCATTAAAAAAAAAAAAATAGTGAGACCTCCCAACTATCCAGCAGCCCAGGGGAAATTATAAAAATCCAAAGCAAAAAGTCCAAATGTTGGTCTAAAAAGATTCTAGAAAGTTCTAAAGAAGCTTAGAAGATTAGAGGCAGCTTCATTAATCTTACCTATAATTTAATTAAAATGAAATCTTACCAAGAAAGCATGACAGAGATAAAAGGAAAGAAATGTGGATTTTCTATATCATCACTGGCTTGGGTATCTGCTTAGCACTTCAGTTACTCCAAGGTTTAAGGTAAATAATATTTGCTTTCAACAACTGCAGAGAATCAATTCTGAGATCTGGATTCCAAATAAAATTCTATGTAACTTTGTACTGATGATCCACAAATGTATTGAAAGCAAGTGTTTGAGACAAATAAGATGTATATCATATCCATGTTGGGGGCTAAGCTCTACCTTCAAGAACTTAGGAGCCCTGGTTATAAAGCATATTCTGTAATGACTACAGCTCTGGAATTTAAGGGGAGTGCATAAGTGAAAGACAAATGTACAGAGTTCTATTATTTGGATTTAGTTTTGGTTCCTCTAATTGGATGTGTGGCCTTAAGCAAGTCACTTAATTTTATAACCCTCAATTTCTTTGAGTTTAAAATGGAAATAATAATTTTCTTGCCTTTTGAGTAGCTATAAAGGTATGTGAGCTTTTCATAAAAGACAAAGCACTACTTAATACTTTTCTTAAAAAATTGTCATTATATCACTTTAGCCCCCTCCCCCTAAGGAGACAGTGAGTCTCCTGCCTCTGAATAATAAGCTGTTAATGTGTTTCCTTCCTCTGTGGAATTCACATGGTGCAGCAATAGAATACTCTGGATTTCCCTTGAACTTCCTTCATAAAATGAGTATTTTTTTTAAATTCCTTCAATGATTTTTTTTAAAAGTAAAAGAAAATGTCAACCTTAAACACTTTATCCACTACCAAGTAAACACAGCAGAATTTCATTTCATCTAGAGTTTCTCGTGTTCCCTTTACTAAAGCTTAAAAGTTATGAGAAGGGAAACCAAAAGTTAAGATTGTTTTTGGAAGCAAGAAAATTAAAGAAACGATAAAAATAATACCATTCTGAATGAAACAAAGTATGATTCTTCTGTGCCCAAACTCCTCAAGAGAAAAACAAAAGTTAAAGAAAGGGGATAGAAGAGAAAGATGGAACATGGAAGGGTAAGCTGTGGTGTCAATGTGTATATGAAAGGCAAGCAATAGAAGAAATTCAAAAATAAGCTAAGAGCAATTGTTAAAGTGTGATTCCCACTACCAGCAGCATGCAAATTTTCAGACCTATCTCAGATCTGAATCAAAACCTCTGGTAACTCAACAAGTCCTGAGTTACACTAAGTTGGGAATCACTTCCTTAGAGGGACTGAGTGATAGGAAGAGGATGGCACCGGATTGCTTCGCTTACAGAAAATTGCTCTCTAAAATTCCACCAATAAGAATCTCATGCTTGGGAAAAGTAAATCACAATTATGGATAATGAGTTGACTTTGCAGTGAATAAGCTTTATTTTGCCTGCAATATAAGGCGTGAGTGGTTTACTCTTGAGAATAAATTTCCCCCATACTGCAAAGGTACCATGACAAATGTACTACTTTTGACATTTGACAGCACTTGGCTTATATTATCAAAATATGGGTATTAGAATGTGAACTCTGTATGAGCAGAAATAATCAGATGGATGGATGGATTTATACTTAAATATACCCAGCATAATATCATATATAATACATATTTGACAAATGATGAATTCAGTCCTTCCATAATGATGTCTAATCACTTCTAAAAAAGATAGTCTATTTCCAAAGAGCTGTTTATTGTGTAACATAGCTCCACTGAGCTAATGTAAAATACTTTGGATATTTATATATATTAAGTATTTTCTACAAGAATATGAACTTGTTTCAGGTACCGTGCTCTATTTGTTCTTACCTTACTCTGTATAACAAAATATCACAGATAATGGCGAGATTGACCAAGAGGGCATTCAGCTTATTTATAGACTACTAGATTTAGGGTTGCCAGATTTAGAAAACAGAAATATGGATGCCCAGTTATATTTGAAATTTGGATAAAAAATGATATTTCTAGTCTAAGTGTGTTCCATATAATATTTACATACCTACACTAAACCATTATTTATTATTTATCTGAAATTTAGATTTGACTGGATGAGTGTATTTCATCTGGCAGTGCTATCCAGGCAGTACTTTTTAGATCCTAACTCTGGACTTTTTGCTTTAAAATTTATAGAGGACTAGAGACTGGTATCTGTAATTGTTTAACAAATATTCATTGAGTAAGGGGGTGAATGTTCCAAAATGGGGGACATGTTTTCCAGGAAAATGTAATTCAAAGGACTTATCTATAAATGCTGTATTTTCTCAGCA